GCCGTTGCCCGGCCCGGGGCAGGCCGGCCGGCAAGGGCAGCTTCTCGGTAGCTTCTAAGGCCGTCTGACGCAGCTCTGACTGGCTGGGGAGGAACTGCCCCCGCACTCTGGTCAAGCGCCTCAAAAGTTTATTGCTCCGCTTCTCTGGGGTTTTCTTGAGGCGATTGCTGCTTAAAAATTCGGAGGGCTGATAGCCTGTTGCCCGGAGACCTCGTGTAAACAACCACGTTCGCTGAGCCAAGAGCCATTCCTAAAATAAGCCGTCACGCCAAAACCTTTCTTAATAGCCAGACCGAAGATGCTGTTTGCGGGAAAAGGCTCCTTGACTATGTTTTTTTTTAAGATCTCTGTATTACGCAGTTTTAACAGCTGCAGATTTCAGGCTAGGAAGTGACTGAAGGTAAAAACCCTGCAGCTGCTTTAAGCTGCCTTTGCCAGTTTTTTACCAATATTAATTAGGGCATAATTGAGAGAGACTGCAAAGCAGAGGTAATCGCCTTAGTGTTCCTAATCAACTTGTGCTACGCCCTGGAAGGGGAAATGAAAAGTGCCTTAACTTCTTTAACAGTCCACTAGGTTTTCAGCATCAGAGGCCCTTCTTCCCAAAGAGGTCACTGCTGATGACCCGATTCACTATTGACTCATTGGAAATTAGGAAAAGTTCATCAGTGTAGGCCCATATATGCAATTGCTCTCCTTGCCTGGAACTGAGAAGAACCTAAGCATCCAGCATTTCTTGATAAGCTTTCCCACATCAGTCTTCCCAGGAAGAATGGAAGTCACGCCCCTCATCACAGGCAAAAAATCCTAATACTAAGGGCTCTGAGTCGCCGTCCTTGTCGGATTCAGCCACTACAGGTAAAGAGATTAGCGCAGCCAGTTGTCCACTCTGCCCATCTGCTGGAGGTTACTGTCCCTCCAACAAACAGCCAGTGTGTCAGCTTCTCAGCCTGAGCCCCGTTTGCCATATTACAGCTCGACGTGTTACGACAAACTGCCACTTACTTTGGTTTACATGGATACACCGAGTGTGAATATCTGGAGGCTTTGATTTATGGTCCCTGTTGGCTTCAGTTGCGGGGGCAGGAGCGTTGTTAGTTTTTGCTGCTAAATCTGACAAGAATCAGAGCCTTAAGGAACCATCTGAATTTCCAGATAACGCCCGTACAACCAGCAAATTACATTGGTCGCTCCTCTTCCATGTTCTCAGTAAGGACTTAGTAATCAATTATATAAGAAGATAAGTAGTTGTGTAATGATTTAGTACACTCATTCGTTTTATTATCCTGTATCAACTACAGGATGAATACTTTGTATTCATTTTATTATTATTTAACTCATGGTGCAGTCTTGCATACTGCTATCACTGTCTGTGAAGCTGCAACCTCTCAGTTATATTGCGGGCTTGGCCAGCCGCCTCGCTGCCGAGGTGTCGCTGCAGCACGGAGGGTATGGCTGAAACCGGAATAATCCCTTGCTCCTCCCTACCAGCTTTTTGGATGTTCTGAATATTGTTAGAAACGTCCGTACCGTAACAGCGTGAAGAGTTCCGAGTTCACCATTGCAACAGATGTTGTTTCAGCCTTTCCTCCCAGTAATGCTGAATGGTTATTACCTATTTGTATCACCTCAGGCTGTGTTTATGCATACCTCCGGGTCAGAGCATGCTGCGCGCCCAGGGTTCCAGCGCCAGTATCGTCCGAGCTGGCTCTTAAGCGTTTTTCCATCAGAGAAAACCAGGAGGAGGCTGGGAATAGTATGCATCTAGGTCCTGTCTCTACATGTGCTCATGATTTCCTTAGGGTACACACATGGACACAAAACCCTGAAAGCCTCCCAAGTTTTCTAGCCTTGACCGAGTCTGGGAATCAGAGAAGACATGCAAATAGATGACAGAACTGCATCTATGATGATGTAACTTTATAATTGATTTCTCCTGCTATAAGAGACATTAGCTAAACACTGTCATCATCAAAGAATAACAGCATTGTATTACCTGACCCAGCCAAGCACAGACTGAACTCACAACGAGGTTAAATATTTTGTTTAGCTGCGCCTTCAAAATCTCATGGATCCAAAGAAATGTAAGGAAGTAGTTTACACCTGATTGCAATTAAAAAATACTGTCCAGGGTTTGTCAGAACAGTGTTGCTATGGGTCACACCCTTTGAATCTTGGTCCTGAAGAAATGTGGCACTACCAACAATCACTGTTCTGTTAAACTTTTAGGAGGCGGTGTTGTGGTTTGAAATGCGGCTGTTTCCCTCCTCACTAAGCCCCCATTCCCTGGGCTGACGTCGTCTCCCCAGAACCCATCCACGGGGGATTTCGCTGCGTGAGGAGGATGTGGCAATGGCAGAGGTACAGCAGGACAAGCCCATGCTGGACAACACAGCGTGAGACACGGGGCTACTTGATAGTACAACATAAAGCATCGCCCACCAATACAGGTATTGCCCGGCATTGCCTATCAACAGCACCGCTGTGCAGCAGCTGTTCTCTGGTGCAGCTTCGAGTCCTGAGATTTTGGCCTTCAGGACATCAACTCTGGCGACTGCAACTGCTTTGGCTTAAGATGTTACTGCCTTTACCGGCCACCCTGCCTCTCTGCCAGGAGTTACAGCCGCGTGGGAAGAGGAGCAGAGACAGGGCCAGCGTGCTGGATTTCCCTGGCCAAGGCCTCTTTTTCCACCAGAACTCGGGCTCTGCTGGAGCTGGGGGAACTGGCTTATCTGCCTGAGGGTTCTCCGAGGCCTGGCAGCAAGCACAGGGATGTCCAGATAACCCGGGCGCATCCTGCACATCTGCACAGATCAACTCTGCTGTACAAGGGCCAGAGGTCTAAGGCTCTCGGGAAGCCTTGGCCTCGGCATGCATGCATTATGCCTCCTAGACACAGGCACAGAAATCTGGATGGAAGTCTGACGGCGCTAGGCAATATAGGGTATGTTTCCAAAGCACAGCTGCTGCACATCACGGCCTGATATTTTGGCAGCAACTTCATTCTTTGGCTGCTTAAACTACAACGCTCAGCTGGGGTGGCTGAG